GTCGGGTGTGAAACCTGGCGTGAGTTGATACCTGGGTGAGTGTGTGGGTGGAGTGTGAACCTGGGTGAGTGTGTGTGGTACATCTCACGTGCCGGCCGAGGTTTTTCTTCATCAGCTGCGTAGCTAGAGTTTATCTAGCTGTTCATGAAATTCGGTACTCCCTTCCATCTGCCCTTTATGTGATCTATATAATTTATATGTGTGTATATACATACATATATATAACATATAATAGATCATAAGGTATCTAGAGCTGACTGAAGGTGGAACGTGTTGTTGATACCAGATGAGTACACAGCTCAGTTGGTCAGGCCATTCCCCAGGCTGTGCGACCAACGACGTGCGGAAGACTCGCTGCTCGTGAGTTTTAACATCTCTACCTCACGTTTTTACTTTATTATTGAAATCTTTACTTGCAATTAATTCCATGATAGCGATGAGATGACCAGTACTGATGACATTATTTTTATGGGGGGGGAAAAATACTGATAAAAGCAAATAGTGTTGAGTAGTTAAAATGATAAAATTCTGACTGAACGGTACGAATACAATGCTCATAAACACCCATGAAGAAAAAATATATCAAAATAAAACTTCAGCATATTCGTACTAGTAAGGTGATAATTCAAGGTAAGTGTGAGTATTAGAATGCATCTTTTCTAATAGAAGAGTGATACAGTACAAAACAGTGTGCCGATACAACATGAAAAAAAATATATACCAGAACAAAAATTTCAGCAAATGTAAGTAAAGTGAATTAAGTACACTTTAAACATGCATTTGACCACTCATACGTACTCGACATAATATAACATATTACATACACATATGACACACACACACACACACACATACACACACACACACACACACACACACACACACACACACACACACACACACACTTATATTTATATAAATAAGTACATTTATATAAATATGAACATACGTCACCATAACGTCAGTACACTCACAAGCAAAACACATGACCATAGCATGACGTTACTCCTCCCTGCATCTCGTGAGCTCAGTATCTTTCCTCCTGTATTAACCCTGTTTATAAATTTCCTACGTTGATGCTGCAGGGCTATTTACCAGCGAACGTCGACAGAAGGAAAGGGACGCTAGAGCGTAAGAGGGCGGAGTATTTTGGTTTCATTCAGCAATACTATGACACGCGACACAGTGATATCCATCAGGACACGTATCGACAGGTATGCGATCTAACGTCCGGTATGGAGTGAGACAACTCGCTCAGCGTTACTGTTCACACGGCAGTGTTGCTAACAATCATCCGTGTCTGTCTAAAAATACTCCAAGTCATTCGTCAAGTTCTGTTTTATCGAAAACGTAACACCCAACAAGTCTTCGGTTTTTAACCTATAGGCAGTCTTGGGACAAGCCTGAAAACCCATGCTGTCTTAATTTCAAAAATTTAGATTACTACCATAAAACTTATAGTGAAATACATAAATATGAGCAAGTCCTGCTCAAAAATTACCATATTGCTGTTTCCCACACTACCATGGAGTAAGTGCCTTTCCATTAGCTGTGTGCAAGCAGCGTTGGGTGTGTTACTACACGCAGTGTGTTCGCACAGGGAGGCGGTGTGTACCTCACGGTCCTTATCGCCGGTCGTCGCTGCTGTTATTGTTGCAGATTCACATTGACATCCCTCGAATGAATCCTCTCATCTCACTCTTCCAGCAGGAGGTCGTGCAAGAGGTACGACATCGTCATAGTTGTGTCAGATGTAGACCATGCTACAGCAGCAGTCGCTTAATTTGGTTAATTAATGAAGTGACGTAGTGACAATAATAATGCATAAGTAATAAATCATGAGTATCTATAATTCGTGCATCGATATAAGGTAATGTGAAAGCAAGGAGAAGAAAAATGATCATGGGTCATCTCAGCTTGGTCAGTCGGACGAGGAGAGGTATAGAGGGTGCTTGTGGCACTGTCGTTGCATGTGTTGCAGATATTTGAGCGCATCCTGTACATCTGGGCGATCCGACATCCAGCGAGTGGCTACGTTCAAGGAATCAATGACCTTGTAACGCCCTTCTTCGTCGTGTTCCTCTCCGAAGTCGTCGATGAGAGTAAGGAGATCCTCATTCTGATCTGTCACAGTTAAATAATCGATGCGTGTATAGAGGGAAAAGTTTTTCTAGGTAAAACGGTGCCATGTTTCACGTGGGATCGTGTTGCATATGTATATGTGTCTACGGGATTTGCCGGCCGAGGTTTTTCTTCATCAGCTGCGTAGCTAGAGTTTTTGCTAGTGTCATGGAATTCGGTACTCACCTTCAGTCTGCTCCTTTATGTGATCTATATAATTATATGTGTGTATATACATACATATATATAAACATATAATAGATCATAAGTATCTAGATGCTGACTGAGGTGGACGTGTTGTTTTCAGATGAGCTACGACAGCTCAGTTGGTCAGGCATTCCCCAGGCTGTGCGACCAACGACGTGGAGACTGCTGTCGGTGAGTTTAACATCTCTACCTCACGTTTTTATTTATTATTAAATCTTTATTGCATGTAATTCAGATACAAATACATGTACTGACGACAATTTTTTTATGGGGGAAAAATACTGATAAAAGCAATAGTGTTGAGTAGTTAAAATGATAAAATTTCTGACTGATACGGTACGATACAATGCTATACACCATGAAGAAAAAATATATACAAAAAAAACTTCAGCATATTCTGTACTAGTAAGGTGATTAAGGTAAGTGTTGAGTAGTTAGAATGATCTTTTTCTAATAGAAGAGTGATACAGTACAAAACAGTGCGATACAACATGAAGAAAAAATAGATACCAGAAAAAAAATTTCAGCAAAGTCTGTACAAGTAAAGTGATTAAGGTACACTTTAACATCATTTTGACACTCATACGTACTCCATTATATACATATTACATACACATATGCACACACACACACACACACACACACACACACACACACACACACACACACACTTATATTTACACACACACACACACACACACACTTATATTTATA